ACAAAATTTAACATTGAAAAAAAACTATCATTTGGAACAAAATCATGAACAAGGACTCTTCTCGTAAAAGCTCTAGTTTTACTTGATAATCTATGTCTGGTGCTATAACTACAAGTAAAATATCCGTAGCCATAGCAAGAAAGGGGCGCGCGAGCTTCATAATCTGTTACGTGCCTTGCCTAGTGTACTGCAATTGTGAAAATATTTTGAACTCGTAGCTGATTTCTGGAAATTAAAGGGGCTCACGAGCTTCATAATCTGTTACGTGCCTTACATTGTCCATCGCTTTGTTCTTCAATCTGAAGAAGAAAGTATTAGACGGTGTTACAATTTTTTTAATTTTTTTAAAAAATGTGACACCGTCCGTTGCTTTGTTCTTTAATATGAAAAAAGCGAATTCAAAAAGCATTTCAGAAAAGGGACGCACAAAAGTAACCATGTCTGTCACTTTTCTGTATTTTTTTGACAACAGAAACTATCCATCTGCAATTAAAATACAATTCAATATATATTTGATCCAACCATTTCAAACAAACCAAACAACTAAGCATATACATACAATATCATAATAAACATCATTAAACACTAAAACCATAAAATAAAGACTTATAAAGTTTTAAAAAAAACTCCAAAAACTACAAAAGATATGACACTTGGGCCTAAGTCAACCCCAAATGCTAGCTCATGAGGGGAGGTTTGTCCAAGTCTATATAAGGAGATCAAATTCTCATCCTTCTACCGATGTGAGACTTCTTAACACTCCCCACACGCTCAGACCTCAATTGGAGCGTGAACACTTCAAAATGGGGGATCAACATCGGTGAACAACAAATTGGGATGGATCTCGGCTCTGATACCATGAGAAAATCAACATACTATGCTGCTAAACAATCGAATTCCTCCATTGATGAACATTGAGTTCATATGAGAGAAGAAGAAGATTCTGGAAAAGCTACATGAAAAATCTGTTTCATTGAATGTGAATTAAGAGAGTAACTATTACATGTGATTCTATATATATAGAGATACACAAACTGAAAGCTAGCTAACAAACTGTACAAATTCCGACTTCTCTGTAACTAAATCTAACTAACTGTACTACAACCTGTAACAAACTAACTTATATTCTCATCACACAAAATGTTCTCTAAAGTATCAAAAGTCATAAAATAACAATACAAAAGGGATGTTGAAGGGTGGAGGCTATGTATTTATCTTCATCATCAATCTCAGTGTCCTCGCTACTAGAAGACCCACTTGGATCAGAACGGATTGCCTACGCCGACAAGCGAGGCTAATCACTTGTTCTTTGAATTTAATTTCTTCAATGGTCCTGAGCATTTTTACATTTTGAGCAATTTGTTGTGCCTCAGACTCTTCCAAGGCACATGTGGATTGTGTGATTCGCTATGACATAGCAGCTATTTGAATATCGTCAATTGTCTCGGTTTGGCATGATGATCCAATACCTTCTAGTACTGATTGGATGCATCGATTCCGTAGACTATGCCCCTATGTGTCCCCCTTGCCATTTTTTCCTTCCAAATTTGAGAGGCTTGTTCATGCATATGCTGGATCGGATTGCCCAAGAATTCTTAAGATTGGTTAAACTCAAGCAGGTGTAGTTCATACTCTCTCTGCATATTAAAATAAAAGTTAGTATCAAAATATATAGATAATAGATGATAAGGAATGCACCCCCTCAAGCTACCAAACTAATTCATCCTTTAGTTGGAGCTCCCTTACAATCAACAAAATAGATAACCATCGTGATTCTATAGCCCGAGCAGCTTTGAGCCAACCCATTGTTGTTGTACTTATAGGTAGATTTTGTTCAAATTAACTGGTCTTCTACATATTTTTATCCCATATGACAATTACACATGAACATGATGTGATAACATTAAGTTTTATGGGAATATTAATATTGTAAACCATAGGAGCTCGTGTTATAATTAGTTGGTTTTGACATCAATTCTTCCTAAAAAGGTAAGGAGAAATTAAAACCAATGTAAACATTTAATTCAAGTATATATTGGCATGCAGCATTAGGGCTACACTCTATTGGCATGCAGCATTTTTTGTGGCTCCATACAGCAGCTAGCTTGACCAAATATTTGAGTGACATGTCAAAGTAGAGTTGCCCTGTTACTGTTTAATGTAATGTAATTAGACGCACGTTGGCTCTTGAGACTGTGATGCAGAAATAAACTTTAACTGGACTCCATGTTTTAGATGGAAATGTCAAGGCCAAAAATATTAATTCTTCCAAAATTCAACATTGAAAAAACCTATCATGAACAAAGTTTACTTTATAATCTGTGTTTGGTGCAGGCTTTTAACTATATATAATAGCTACATCTGTATCTTATTCTAAGATCATTTTTATCCGCAGTCAGTCCATTTTTAAACCAGAATGACCGGGAAAATGGGTAACTACTTGTCCCCGTATGCAAACCTCCAAGGTCAAAAGTTAAAAGAACCAAATCTAATTACAGTTGTGTATTTGGTATATATCCAAAGCTTCAGCTAGCATCTATGTCATTCAACTTTGGGTGCGCACAAGTAGACGCATGTGTCATATGTGGCATAATACACATAGGACTCCATGTAATGCATAAAAAAAATTATGTAAGATGCATGTGTTTATATATTCAAAATTTTATACAAATTAAAATGTCTACTTATGCATAACCAAAATTGAAGGGCATAGATTCAAGCTGAAGTCAAGTTAAAGGGCATATATTGTTATGCAATCTGTATTTTAAATCAAGACTACTGATAACAAAACTTTGCATAAACAGTAAATTCCAAAGTTTAAATCACGTAGTGAAGAACAGAAACTAATGACTATAAAACATACCAGAATCTGTAACAATCATATGAAACAAAAAGGAAAGGAAATCGAGCCCACTAAATACACAGTGTCCCCTTAAGGAAATTATTCTCCTCTAGTATCTGAGGTTTGAATTGGAATATATCCTCCCAAGATAAAACGATTCTATTTACCAATGTATTGATCCCAAAATCCCAAAACAATAGTGTGTGAAAAGTCACAGGTATTTATTGTCAAGAAACATTGGTTCAAAATGGTTGCAACCTTTCAGAAACCACACGACCATTTATGAAAGTTTGCAACCCTTCAAAACAGTCATTTTCAACAGTGAGAAATTTAAATAAAATGGGAAAGATTCGCACGGATCAGCGACGGTTCAAGGGGTCCCTCTTTCCAACACTTTTAACAAGTAGTAGAAGTGTTTCTCTATTTAAACACTTGAACTTTTCTTTCCACCACCAATGAGGGAGAAATCCCTTTTTCCTTACTAAAGCATAAGAGAAACTTTCAAATTCATCTTCCCTTCATTTCCCAATAATTCTTACTATATACCCAACACACATATATATATTATGCCTTTGGATTATATATCACGTAATTTTCACTAAATCAGTCCTTCAATCATAATATATTATAGGTTTCATAACAAAAGATAACTTTTTTGAACTAATATATATCATATTAGTAGAGCAAGTTGAATAGAAGCAACCATTTGATTATAACTTAATTTAATTAGATAAAGGTTTTAGCACTTTTCTGGGAGGTGGATGACGATACTGTCTGACCTTTTTTTTTTCTCGTGTCCAAAAAGTAAAAAGGAAAAGCAAAAAGAAAAAAGAGAAGCCTTGCATCAAATGCAAATAATAATAATTATTGAGGGGGACGCATGCTTTGAGGAAATTGTTCAATTACTTAACAAGGTAGAATTGCTCCTCACTTCATTACTTTGGGGGACCTGAAGCCGCTTTTGTCCGCACTAAAGACCCTTTTGGGCCAGCCCTGCATTCATGTTGCCGCCAATAGTGGTGCCTCTTCCTAAGTTCGGGTTCTTCACTTTTACTTTCAATAAAAAATGTAAGTATGGATGTGAAAATCCTATATTATTTGATAAATTGATTTTAGATACTTTGATCAAAATTGACGGAGAAATTCGGAATAAATATAATGATTTATGTAATCAAACAAAAGCAAAGGTAGAATTGAAGAAAATGAAGTATCTTCTATATAGATTTCTATTGATCAATATTTTGTCTTTGGAATATCTTGTAAGTTTTACAAATAATGTCTCGGAATTTAGATATATAATTCTATTTATTGATATTTGAATTATTTTTAGCTAAATCTCCCCATCATATTTGTACTTAAATTTGTAATCCTAAATCTTGAAATTTAGATTTTGAATTAGGCTTCTTCCCCTCTAACTTCTCATCAGTTCTTCTCTCACCTCCCCACTACTATCGCTTTGCTTCTTTTTTTTTTGCTCTTTATTGTAAGTTCAAAATAACTTACTCGCATCTTAACCTATCGCGACGTGTTATCTTTCATCATCATATGTATTGAATAATTCGTCACAATATCAAAGCTTGTCAAATAAAATTAGATCATGACTTAGCGGGTTTTTTTTATCTTTATTGGTTCTTTGATTTCTTTTAAGCACCTCAGTCATCGTGTAACTACCTTTAACGAAGAGAATTCAATTGATTTTCGAAGATAGAATAATTATGTTGTGCAAAAAGGGGGAAGAGGACTTTCATGTGTATAGAAGTTGTTATTTCCTTGATATAGACGACAAAAACATTTTTAGACCGAATTATTAATTGAGATTATATTTGTTCGATTTCACATAATTTATTAATACTTTTTACCCTTTTCCGTAGGAAGTAGCATTCTTTTTCAAACACAAAAAGGGACAGTAAAATACATATTAAAATAGAGTGAGTAGAAAAAATACAATATTGAATGACATATATTTTTTCTTTTTTTAATTTGAAAAAGCTGAGTCAACTTTAGCATATATTGCAAGCAAAGACTAGAATGGGTATGAAAAGCCCAAAAAGTAACAACTTTTCTTTATTGAATAGGGAGAAAAGGTCAAATACAGTAGCTCAAAGAAATTTATAGGAGTAATAATCAAAGGTCCCACATCCAGCAACCTGGCCCAAAACGCGCTTAAGGACAATGATTATATGTCATTTTCTTGAAAACTAAGCATATCATTATTTAAACGTGATAGCTGACTTGATAAACAGCAACAACCAAACAAACACAAAGAAATAGTTGAATGAATATAATTCAACAAACTGTTTAAACGAAAAAACAGTCCACAAAGGGCTTAATGGAGGCTGAGAAAGTAACAGGCATTCATGGTTGTTGCCCCAATCCTCTCCTTATACTTCTTGAGCCTCAAAACCATCAGCCACTTCCTAAGCCCAAAAGCACAACCGCAGCTTGCCGGCACACCTTTGCAACCACAACAACTTCCTCTTTTTTCCCAAATACTCATTTCACTAACCATGAATCCCTTCCTTCATATCAAGAATCATATGATCAGTTCCTCAAAGCTTATCCTAAGTATTCCGAATCTCACCAAGTCGACAAGATTCGGAATCAAGAATACTATCATCTGTCAGTTTCTAACCATGTGTGCCTGGATTACATTGGCATTGGTCTCTTCTCTTACTCACAGGTTCAATCACAGGTTTCTGCGGTTGTCCCGCTGACATCCTCTTCTTCTTCTCCGTCATCTCATGAATGTAGTGAGTATCCTTTCTTTGACATATCTTGCAAGTCTGTTGATCTCAAATCCGAGCTATTACATGGCGGTGATGGATCACAATTGGAATCCTGTATCAAGAAAAACATCATGAATTTTCTTAACATGTCTACAAATGAATATTCCATGGTTTTTACTGCTAATAGATCATCAGCCTTTAAGCTTATAGCCGAATCTTACCCTTTCAAAACTAGTAGAAAGCTTCTTACAGTTTATGATCATGAGAGTGAAGCATTGGAGACTATGGTCAATACATCAGAGAAAAGAGGGGCTAATATAATGTCAGCAGAATTCAAATGGCCACGGCTAAGAATTAACTCCGCGAAACTCAGGAAACTGATTATAAGGAAGAAAAAGCAAAAGAAATCAAGGGGACTATTTGTGTTCCCCCTTCAGTCAAGAGTGACCGGAGCAAGTTACTCTTATCAGTGGATGAGTTTGGCGCAGGAAAATGGTTGGCATGTTTTGCTTGATGCATGTGCATTGGGACCAAAGGACATGAATAGCTTTGGACTTTCCTTAATCCATCCTGACTTCCTTATTTGCTCTTTCTATAAGGTTTTTGGTGAAAATCCTACAGGGTTTGGATGCCTCCTTGTCAAGAAATCAGTTGTATCGATGTTGGAAGCTTCGGTCAGTACAGGCATTGTAAGTCTTGTTCCACCAACACAACTCTTAAATTCACTAGATTCATCAGGCAGTGGCACGGAGCTTGAACAAAAAAACAATTTTGTTACAAAACTGGATGAGCTGCATATATCTGGCTCTAATTCAGCTCACAATTCTGCTAAATCCACACACAACAATGAATCTGGAAAAGATGCTCCAAAGGATAAGAGCAAAGAGGAATTAGATCAATCCATTAGTACACTAGGCGACAACACTAAGCTGGAAGAAAAGAGAAGCATAGAGATTCAATGCAGATGCTTGGATCATGTGGATTCGCTCGGACTGATGCAAATTGGTAACAGAAGAAGGTATCTAGTCAATTGGCTTATTAGTGCACTCCTGAAACTTAAGCATCCAAATAGATTGGATCATTTTCCTCTGGTCAAAATCTATGGACCAAAGATAAAATTTGACAGGGGAACTGCTATGGCGTTTAATCTGTTCGACTGGAAAGGAGAAAGGGTGGAACAAATTCTCATACAGAAGCTTGCTGATCGGAACAATATTTCTCTCAGCCATGGGTTTCTGTCACATTTGTGGTTTCCAGACAAGTATGAGGAAGAGAAGCAGAGGACTATAGAAGGAAAAAAGTGTGACGAAAAAGATGCACAGAACAAAAAATCTAAAAAAACTGACTTTGGGATATCAGTAGTTACCATTGCCCTTAGCTTTCTGGCCAACTTTGAAGATGTTTACCGGCTTTGGACATTCATAGCTCAGTTTCTTGATGCAGACTTTGTGGAGAAAGAACGGTGGAGATACAGCTCTCTGTATCAGAAAACGATTGAAGTTTAACATAGCAGTTTTTTGTCAGCAATTCTGTTGCTGCAAAAGACTTTCAAGTGTGATACTTCTTTCTTGTCAATGTAAAAGGAAACAAATACTGGATTTTTGTCCAGAAAATGTATGAGAGTCCAAACATTTGGATGGAAAGGCACATTTTTTTTCACCTTGCTTTGATTGGATAAACCTATATATTGTGAATGACAAGATAAAAAGCTATAAATAAGAAACGTTGTAGGATTTAGTTGCATTTAAGAAATTTATACTCCACAAAAATCCATTCTCTATAAACAACATGGTTAACAACAAGTCATGATTTTCACGAAGAAAAATTGGTGCTGTATTTTCAACAAATGAATGCAAAACGTAATAACATTTAGCAATCTCCTAACATATTTACACCACAGTCATTGCACTCTTCAGCAAGAGCGAATCAAAAAGGGCAAATGCAACCAAATGCTGATACACCATTGTTCCTAACAAAAGGACCTTTTAGTTTCAAACATTAAGGAGCCGTTTGGTAGGATGTATTAATTAAAATAGTCCTTGGATTAAAATTTAGTCCACTTAATACAATGTTTGGTAGCACATTCAACTCAAACACACCTAATACATGGATAACTTAATACACCATATGTGGTCTTATCTAATACCAAAAATATCTAGGGATTACTAATCCCAGGTTTAGTAATACTTGGATAAGGAAACAAAATGACTGAATTGCCCTTCTATTTCCTTAGACACCCTTTATAATTGATAAAGAAATTCCCGTTGTGCTCTTTGGCGACTTTACTGTTTTCATGATACAATTTCTTTTGGACAAGAAAAAAATATGTACAGATTTTTCAGTTAAAAAATCTGATCTTCTGAAATTTTCTCTAATTTTCTCTTCTATGATTGAAACACTGTACAATCCACCAGCCATTTTCTCGTCCTAAAAACTCCCTCTCATCAATTCCAGAGCACAACATTTTGTAACTGTGAAACAAACTCAAAACATTTTTCTCCTCTCTCGTCTTGTAACACTACCACTATTTGATCTGCAATACTGATATTTCCTCACAAATTTTGTCATTAAAATCAATAAAGTTTTGATCTTTCTGCAAGTTCTTTAGTTTTTTTTTTTTTTTAAATATTAGTAGGTAAGAGGATTACATGACAAAGCAAAGTTGATCTTGTTGGCTACTGTTTTTTCCTATTTTGTTAAGAGAAGAGGGAGGTAAGCATTGGATCGTGAACTTCAAATTCAAGTTTTAAATTGCAATAAATATGGTAATTACATGTAATAGAAAACATAATAATTCAAGGGTAAAATTGGGGGAAAAACAATTGTAGAGTTTTAAACCAAACACAAGATTTGGTGAGAAGCGATCAACCAAACACTTGATTAAAAATAATTCATGTATTACTAATCCCTGCATTGTTAATTCCTGCATTATTTATCTCTGCATTACTAATCTCTGCGTTATTAATCTTTGTACCAAACGACCCCTAAGTGCTAGTGTTATGACAAATGCAGTGAAATAAATCAACCACCAGAAAGGTACATTTAATAACATATTCACAGGTCACACCATTAAAACACTTCTCTTTTGATGAGGGAAAAGATAGTGGATGGGGGAAGATCGATTCTATTGGTTGTTCTACCTATTCAATAGGCACAAAGAGGCCAAGTAGACAGAAATTTCAAGTACCAAGCTTGCCTCTGATGAATTTTGGACTCCATAGATCACATCATGGCAAGTCCAAAACTATCTTCTACATAGTTTTTTGTATTAGGAATTACGTCGAACAGCTGGCAGAGAATAGAGACTTACATTCCAACCATAAAATCAATCAGGAAAATGTGGCTTCAGAAGGGCTACACTACAACAGTTGGAAGCGGTAAACATCACCACCGGCCGAATAAAACTGTTGATGCAGACCATGTCCGGGAACAAGCATAGGCCTTTCCATCTAATTACAGCAGCAGATTTACTGAATGGCTAGACGCATCATTGCTAACGATAGATTCTTATCAATTTTTGTTTTACAAACTCACATCAAACCCACTTTATTTTTTATATGCTTATTATTGCTTGAACATAAATGGATAAATAGGCATCAACTATGGTTAGATCTTACGAATTCATCTAAGATTTTGTTTGGCATTGTTGCTAAAAGCTATTTATTTTTAAAAGAATCTTTACAATAGTTTTTAAGAAGAATATTTTTGAAAAAAATATAGCAAATTCATTTGAAAAGTAATGTGTGTTTGATTAATTTTTTTTAAAAAAAGAGTCAAATTACGAAGAAGGATAATATCTTTCTAGGATATAAATATGTAACTATACAAAGGAAAAAAAAATATTACCTTTCTAGGAGAGTTGAAATCTTTAATTGATATTTTTTTTAAAAAAATACTAAAGTATTATTGAAAAATATTGAAAAGAAGGATTTTTTATTTATTTATTACCTATCATTTTTAGATTCAATCTTTAGTTATTATTATTTTTGTTTATATAACTCTAAGGTTAAAAAATCTAATTAAAATAAAATAATATGTAAATTAAGAAAAGAAAATTTTGTTATTTTTTATTTTTTGGGAGGATTGAAATCTTTAATTGTTACTCTTTTTTTTAATCCTGCAAAAATATTGTTTGTTACCTTCATTTCTAGTTTTGTAAAATAATATATAAAATATAAATAATGATATATAAACATAAAATAAAAAATAAAATAAAATTCTTGAATGAAACTTAATCAAACTAATGAGATATGTTAATTAATTAATAAGGGATATATTGGTCTTTCAAGAAAAATAATTTTCTGCTTTTGCTTATGATTATTTTAAAAGGCAGAAATTTTTAGCTTCTTCGCATTAGTAGAAAAACTCTTTTTGCTTTCATTTAAAAGAACTTTTAAGGATTTGTCAAACATTTGATTTTTCAAAAAAATAAATTCTCATAAAAAAACACTTTCAACCTCCCAACTGCAATGTCAAATAGGCATTAAAGGTTAATTAATTAATCTATAAATAGTAAACATTATGAAACAAATTAATATTATTTAGTCAAATATTAGTTTATGCAAAGATATATGGTATAAAATTAATTGCCTAGTGAAGATTAAATAAACATTTAAATAATGATAGTATGTCATCGTATCTATCAAAGGAGAACTATTATATACTTTAGCAATTGGTGTATATCATTGTGTTATTATTTGTGTAATTGTAGCATCAAATTTTACGTTATTCATAATGTTTTTAAATGTCTCATATACTTCATGCAGTTAATTTCTAACTTGTTTTCCTTTAATGGTGGATTTTTAAACAATTATACTTTTAAGGATAAGTGAAATATTTGTGAATTATATCCAATATATGTATCTAAGAGGAAATAAAATAAGGGATTAAAAGAGTTATCATGTCAACCTTTTAAGTCAAGTAGTTGATAAATGATCTAAAATTAAATCAACAAGTTTAAGAAAAATAATGTATTACTGGCTGCTAGAAATGCATTTAAGGTAGATATTGTTTACTTTATAAAAGTGTTGCCTTAGATTTAAAACTCTAATTTGAACGAAATGTACATTTAACTACTTTAGTATGTTTCTAATCAAATTTAACTAGAGTCCCTCATATAATATTTGATGATTTGATTCTAGTGTAGTTACTAAAATGTGCATGAGTTGAAAGAATTTTTATCCAAATTGTATTTAAAAAAATATTTTTACTTGTGAGAAATCGTATGAAGATTTCAATAGAAGGCGTATGAACTTATGCCTTGATCTTGGATAATGAATTCACCTCGATCAATTACCAACATTAATATGTTCTCTTAGTTTCTAGAAATTTGATTTTCCTTTCTTGATTGATGGTTCTGGGTTCAATTTTCTCGATTTGGATATGAATATATTAATTTATAAAAGATACTATTTCTTATGAAATTGATGCTCGTATTAATGATTTATACAAAAATTGAAGTCTAATGATATATTTTTTGAATCACTTATATCACAAAAATTAAAATTAAATATAATCCACTAGATAACAATTCTCCTTACTAATGACGTAAATATTTGAATAATATCCCAATGAATTTATAAAGATTAGTATTAGTGTATTACTACGCACGTACGACTTATTGATAGTGTATGTTTGAAATACATTTAAGGGAAAGCAAATCAAATACAATTAAAAAAAAAAAAGTACCACAAGAAGTATATATAACTTCTTGGAATCATACATAACAATATAATGTTTCTTTTTATGAGAGAAAAAATATTCTATCATCTCTATATGATTTGCACGTTATGGATATATCTATTTTTTGAAAGAAATTTTCAAGCAACAAACATTCTCAAAGTGTTTATTAATAAGGTTGAACACGGTAAGACAAAAAGGGGATATGCTTAGGTCAAATAAAGATGGTGAAACTTTTAAAAAATACAAAAAGTGAGATTAAATTCAAGTGCATTTATAAAGTTTCTCGAGATACATGACGTATGTGCATATAGACTATGCCAAAAACACCTCAACAAAACAATATTGTAGAAAGGCATAATCGGTACACTTATAAATATGATTAGGAGTATGATGAGTAATTTCATTATCCAAATAATTATGGATGTATACTCTTAAAATCATCATATATTTATTAAATGAGATTCCAGTAAGGCAATTTCAAAGACTCGTTTTATACTATTGCTTGAGAGAAAATCTAATTTAAGACACTTGCATGGGGTTGCTCAATGGAATTTAAAATGATAATTCACATAAAAAAAAATAGATTCTCGAACAATAAATTGTTACCTAATTAATTATCCAAAGAAATCTAAAAGATATAAGATTTTACAGTCCAAATCAATAAAATTCAAGAATTGTTGAATCTGACAATGCAGAATTCATTAAGAAAGGTAAAGTTAATGGGAGTGTTGAATGATAAAGTACGAAAATAAATGAGGTAATGATAAATACTCTATAACTCATAAATATGCTTACGTTCATGGCAATTACAAATATGTTTCTGCTATCAAAAACACTTTAATATACTAAACATTATTTGGATGAAACACTTCTGAAAGAGATTAATTCACGAACCAGGGCATATTATTAAAAAAAATCTCAATTATAAATTATTATTTTTTGGCTATTTTAAATGATTATGTGACTTATCTAGAGTT